CAGCAGTTGTGTGCCCATAATCCAAATCATGCATGGCAAAAACATCTGACATTGAGTTGAGCTTTTTCATAATTCTCTGCCTCCATTCTTCGGAGAGAGAAGTATCAGTTAAGTCAAACTTAAGTGGGCTGTCTGTAGTGATTTTGATGTTATCAAACTCAGCAACAGACTTGGGAGGCTGAGAGCTAGTCCTTGTGTTGCTACTCAAGCCTGAAGCTAAAGAGCACACTGACAAGGGGGCATACAGTTCAGCCACTGTTTGACCAGCAGGGATTCTGATTGTATGAGCACTCTCGTTCTTGACCAGAATAGGAAGCTTAAAGGAAGCCTTTGAGGGAGCTGTCATAATGTAGTTGCAAAATAGGAAACCCCCAGGCAAGCATGATGCTGTGGATTCTACTAGCAGAGGACTACCTGGGTTTATATCAACATGTCTGGCATAGCCTGTCAATACAGCTTTTTCACCAGCTGGTACTGCGACACATTTTCTGCTCAATAGCTTAACTTTTCCTGTTTTACCACTCCTCTTATCAACCTTGATTCTGTTGAACATGGCTTGGATCACTGGAATGCTGTCACAATGTCTGACACTTGTGTCTGACTCTTTGTAGGATGTGAATGTCTCATAAAGCACATCCAAAACATTTGTCCCAATGAGAACTGGAATCTCTTGGTTTGATCTGCAGTCTGGTACAATGAGTGCTAGGGTATTCACTTCCTCAGGTCTCCCAGTAACCTCTTTTGGAAAACACAAATTGAGTTCTATGTATCCCAAGTAGGGTACTTGCTGACCCCCCGCGCCCTCTATGTCAAGCAATTTGGCCACAGACTGAATCGGGCGTGCAGGTAGGTGTAGTTTGTGAAATGTCTCTGATACTGTGGTTACCTGGGAGCCAGAATCTAGAAGACACACGCTGTGAACCCCATCAATAGTCAAGCTAGCAGTACATTTTGATCCAACCAGAGCACTCAAAAGAGCCTCCTCCGATAATGCTGAACAGGAGTTGGTAATGTCATCTATTTGTTTCAGTCTTTTATTCTCTTGGTTATCTTGTGCTGGCTTTGGACTTTGCTCCGAATTGGGACTAAACTCTGGTAAGGTCTCAGTGCGTCCCTCTACTGAAACCCTGTCCAGTTTAAGGCTGGGGCATATTTAGCTTGCCACTCTTGCTGTTTCGCCTTTAATTCTTTGTTCTTTTTATCAACAAGGTCTTTGTTTGGAGCATTGATGCACTCTCGGGCAATGTGGTTATTTTCACCACATTTAAAACAAAACCACGCTTTTGGAGCTGACCTGTGTACAGGTTGATGTGCTTGCAGTTCTGTAAAATGTGGTAGTTGAGGTTCTGAAGCACTGGCATGTTTCTGTTCGGATTTCTTTCGTCTTTGGGCTCTTTTTTCAGTTAGTTGCATTTTAAGTTCAGCCACTTGTTTCCTTAAGTTCTCAGTCTCTGATATATACCTCTGCATTAAATCTGTGTCTTGATTAGTTGTGGGGGTGGGATCTGGAATGCCATGAAACTGGGCAAGGGGTTTTGCTTTAAACCCTCCAAGATGTCGTTGCATTCTGTCTACTTTTAAAGATCTTCTTTCTTCTTCAGWTCTTAATTCAAGAAGAAGCTCTGAAAAATTTGGGGCAGGATCATTTCTCAGTTTCTGTTGCAGGGTCAACAGTAAAGTCTGGTCCCAGCAACCACGCACAAACTGTTTGTAAAGTTGTCTATTAGCATTGGCCTCACTTACACCACCCCGTCTGATCGCAGTGCTGAGAAGTGTCTGCAGTCTCTGAATGTATTCAGATGCTTTCTCACCTGCGTCCTGATGAGTACTGAGGAACCTGGCAAAGATCTCCTCCCCGTCGTCAACAAGGCCATATGCTGACTGGAGGAGTTTTACATAGTCTTGAGGAGGTGACTGAGAGCCTAGTTGTTTCACGATGTCTGCTGCYGGCGACAGTAAGCTCTCCAGAATCAGTCGTRGCTGCACATCCATTGTATAGCCATCCTGAAACATAAGTTCAACATGTAAACACCATGTTTCAAAATCCACTTCACCAGGCGGTTTAGGAACTCTGCCTGAGAAGGAACGCAGTCTCTTGGAGCCTGGAGCTGTCGTAGCTTCACTRTTAATGACATGCTCCACTATTATTCGTTGCACATCTGGTGGGTTTAGTATGTCAGAGTCTAGGGTTGTGGCAGTGCCCTTGGCTTGTTCTTTTGGTCGTACTGCCTGTCCCTTCCTTGTCCTCTTGAGCTTCTCTGTTCCACCTTGTGATTTGGGGGCAGATTTTAATGGCTTACTGGGTGGAGGTTGTAACTTTTGAGGACTGAATTTAACAGATGATCCACTGCTGTCTGATTCACTTCCCGTACTATCTGAGCTACCCCGTTCATTCTGCACAGTTTTAAAGGAACATGTGGCTTCAGGGTTTTCATCAATGGCTGACTGTGATTGTGTGGGAGTAGTTAAAACCTCAACTCTGTCCAAACACCATTTTGAGACTGGGTTCTTAGGAGACTGTAGCACAGAGGGGAAACTGATGAGCTTTAGCGACTCTTCTGAGTCAAACTCAACAATCACTTGAAGGCCTTTGAGTCTCACTATTTTACTGACACTACCATATAATGATACAGCCTCTACAATGTCTTCATCTGTGTCATCATCAAGTATGCCCTTCAAAAGGATTGATTTTCTGTCATTTACACCATGCTCGCTACCAATGTCAGCAACAGAAGCCATATTTTGTCTGGTTATTATCAGACAATATTTGATCACACCAAGCACTAATCAATTATTTATATTGGTTGTTTATAGCCTAAAATCCTCCTGGCTGGCTCGCCACTTATGTAACCAACTAGTGTAACTTACAAATAGATAAGTTGAGAAACTTAGATTCCAATGTTGAAGCTATAGT